TTACCACTTACTGTCATTAAAAATAATAACTAACATTCATATATAATGATTCATTGTTTACTAGCACATTCCTCATGGCAATGCTGCAATGTTACCCCTATTTTAGAGGAGGAAACAGAAGGTTGTCAGAGTTTGGACTTGAACTCAGCTCTCCTGACTCAAAATCCAGTGATCTTTAGATTTCATCACATTCAATTGAATGTGGCGTTTTTTATTCCTATAGATTGTACCCTCAGAGGAGGCAGGAAGTATATGTTTCTAATATATCTGCCCCCACAGCACTTAGTGCCTTAGATATAACAGACAACAATAATACCAGCTAACATATAATAAGTAGCTAGTATTCATATAGTGCTTTAAGGTTTTGTGAAGAGCTTTACCAATATTATTTCATTTGATCCTCACAACAACCTTGGGAGGCAGATGCTATTATTATTCCCATTTTACAGATGAGGAAACTGAGACAGACTGAGGTTCAATGACTTGCTCAGGATCACATAGCTAATAAAGGTCTGAGATCACATTTGAACTCAGGTCTTTCTGACTCTGTCCACCCAATGCTGTCAAGTATTTGTTGATCTTAGAAGTCTCTTTCTTTTAACCCCTACTCCTTGGGGTCACCTTATTTCTTCTCTTCCCAAGTCTCAGAGTTAAAGAGTACAAAACATCTCCCTGGGACTCTTCACCTTGCTTCCTGCTGAGGCTGAGTTTGTGCTAGAGGTCTGCTGGACTGCTAGGTGCTTGCCCTTTGCCCTAGCAGAGGCAAAGCCAAGACACCTTCATTCTTGAAACTGCTGCTGCCCTTGAATCACCCTGTGACACTAAGACAATTTGCTCCATCTCTACAGCTTGTTCCCCAACCCATAAACTCTAATTTGGGAAACAGGAGTAATAACCCAGTATTTTTATGCACCAGTGACTTATTGTTGTTAAGTGCTTGGAGATCATCAGATGAAAGGCACCCGGGGCAGGTACCAGAAACCTCCAATCCCAGCCACAAAAGCAAAATAATGAAGGAAACCTTATAAGAACTCGTATCTTGGGGGAGAAGAGCATAAATAAAGACAGGTACCAGGAGGTAACAAACAAATCAGAAAAAAGTCTCAGCTATGAGGCTGGCAGAAAACATTTGACTAGCTCAGCTGTCCCTAGGGTTGCCCATCCTTCATGATTTTGGTTATTGCCTTAAAAGGGAAGGGATCTCTCCCCTCATCTCCAAATCAGAATGGGAACTACAACTAGAACTGACCCCGGAGGACTCAGTCTTTTACAGGACTCAGGCAGGCAAGTACCCTCCAAATGGCTTGTTTGGGAGTTATGCCCTCAGGGCGAGTGACATTAGGCTAACCTAGATGCTGTTCCAGATTCAATCCCCACCCCTCACCCCTACCCACCTGGCTGCCCTTGATCAACAATGCTCTCTTCCTAGGTCCCAAGGTCTCCCTCCCCAAACACAGTGGAGGTCTACAAGTATTTAGAGATTTTTGGGTAAATGCTAATACATCAACCAGTTTGTGTCTTTGTTTTTACTAGTCAGTCAACAGTAAGCATTTATTAAGCATTTATCTCTGATCTCTTTGTCCAGCCCTAACCTCTCTCTCTCTCTCACTCTCTCTCTCTCATATCACAGTCTTATATCTGCAACTGCCTATTGGACATCTCAAACTAGATGTCTCATAGACATCTTAAACTAAAAATGTTCAAAACTGAACTCATTATTTTTCCCAAAAACCCTTCCCTCCTCCCAACCTCCCTTTTACTACTATCACCATCCTTCTAGTCATCAAGATTCTCAACTGACGTGTCCTCAACTCCTCCAAACAATTGTTAAGTCTTATCATTTCTCCTTTCATAACATCTATTGTTATGGGGATACAAAAAAAGGCAGAAAACAGTCCCTGCTCTCATCAATCATTCAGCGAATAGGGGAAACCTTCTCTCTTTCTCTCCTGTGTAACTGTCATCATCATCTCTATTGCTTCACGCTATGGCAGCAGCCTTCTGGTTGGTCTCCCTGTTTCAAGTCTCCTCAATCTAGTCTATCCTATTCTCAGCTATCAAAGACATCTTCCTAAAGCACAGGTCTGATAATTATACTCCTGCCCTCTTCCATTCAGCTAAAAAAAAAAAAAAAAAGAGGGGCAGCTAGGTGGCTCAGTGGATAGAGCACCGGCCCTGGATTCAGGAGGACCTGAGTTCAAATCCGATCTCAGACCAAACACTTGACACTTACTAGCTGTGTGACTCTGGGCAAGTCACTTAACCCCACTGGCTAGCAAAAAAAATAAGAGGCTCCCCATCACTTCCAGGATCAAATATGTGTTAGGACAGGTTCAGTTCCTAGCATTTATGCTGTGGGTGAACTTCAATTACACAGCAGGGAAAAAGAAAGCAACTGTCCCAATCTGGTCAGTTTTTAAATTTTTATTAATTTATTTTAATTTATCAACAATCACTTCCATAAGTTTTTGAGTTTTTAAATTTTTCTCCCCTTCCCTCCTCCCTCCCTCCCTAAGATGGCACACAATCTGACATGGACTTTTAAAAAAAATTTTATTAATTTTTTTAATATTTTATGAAATAAGCTTTTTTTTTTAGGCAGTTGGGGTTAAATGACACAGTTAGTAGGTGTCAAGTGTCTGGTCAGAGACCCGGAATTGAACTCAGGTCCTCCTGACTCCAAGGCTGGTGCTCTATCCACTGTGCCAATCTGGGCAGTTTTAAAGATGAAGTCTGCTCCCCTTACATAACTAATGAAAGGGGGTTACTCCCATCTGCATGGTAACATGGGAGGCGTATTCCTCCAGGAGCAGGGTGGCTCTATGTTAGGAGATCTGGACATGCCCAGAGAAGCCCCCTCAGGGTACCTCCATGTTAGGCAGTCTAGTAAGAGAAATAAACATGGATAAAACCTCATCCTGCTTGTGTTCCTTAGACTGAACTCTGCAGGTTGACAGTATACATACAAAATCCTGTAATTGTTGTTCAAAGTCTTTCATAATCAGGTCCCTTCCTACTTTCCCAGTCTTCCAATGACTTACTGGCCTCCTTGCTATTCCTCATATATGACTTTTGTTTGTCCTTTGTTTTCAAAGAGGACCAGTGACATCACAGGGTGACATCTTGACATGTGTGAACTGAATTTAAGTGAGGCAGAGTTGAGCAAAGTTGTCAGTCTCACTCCATCTTCCAACTCTGGGAATTTTCCCTGGCTATCTCCCATGCCTGTAATGCTCCTGATCCTCAACTCTACCTCTTGATTTTCCTGGCTTCCTTCACGTCTCAACTAAAGTCCCACATTCTGCTAGAAGCCTTCTTGGTCATCCTTAATCTTAGTGCCTTTTTTCTAAAATTACTCACAATTCATCCTGTATACAGTCAACCACAAGAGGTGTTTATCAAGCAATTACTACATACCAGGCACTGTGCAAAACACTGGGAATACTGGGAATGAGCAGAGATACAGTCCCTGCTCTCCAGTTGCTTATATTCTAATGGGGGAAAGGCAATACTTAAAAGGCACTGGCAAGGGAACATAGTAGAGACAGTCAAGGAGGGAGTTGGGAGTATAACCTGGAGAAAGACATGAATGGCCTGAGCTTCTTCCTTAAAATGGGGTTCTAGGAGGAAACCCCCACTCTCCTCTAATCAGACCAAGAGGCCTCAGAGGTGAATATGTGAAGTCTAGGGGTGAAGTGAGTTTCTAGAGGAAAAATGCTTTAGGAGTATTGCAGAGAAAGCCCAAGTGAGTCTGGAACCCAGAGAAAGCAAGGGTGAGGGCCAGGCTGGGGCATGAGTTTTTCAGCAAGCATGTATATCTTGTTTTCATATGGTTGTTTCCACATTTTTTCCCCCACCTCCCATTAGATTGTGAGTTCCTTGATGACACCTGGGACTGTTTTTTTGCCTTCCTTTGCAAATCTCTCCAGTGTCTAGTACAATGCCTGGCTCATAATATGTGCTCAATAAACGCCTATTCGCTGACTGACATATGAGACCAGGGACTGTTTTCTGCCTTTCTCCAGGATTTAGCATAGTTCCTGGAACACAGTAGGTGCTAAATAAATGCTTATGGACTGACTAAGCTCTGTGGAGCAAAAACAAAGCTCACACCTCCAAGGAGTTCACATTCTAATGGTGGAAACAACAAAAACAACTATGCCTATACAAGATATATTCGATGTAAACAAAACATTGGAAGGTAAATTCAGAGGGCAGCGGAGGTTGGGGAGATAGGAGTTTCCTGCAGAAGCCAGGATTTAATCTCAGTCTGGAAGGAAACCAGAGAAGAGAAAGGAAAGAGAACAGAAGGAAACCTACTGTGTGCCAGGCACCAGCCTAACTAAGCAAAGGGGATACAAAGAAGAACCTTATTTGCATACACAACTTCCTCTCGGACCCTTTCAGGCCAAGAGCCTAGCAAGCTTGTAAAGCACAAACAGAACATGCGTATTAACCCTGCCTGGGCTGCCTTATTAAGACTGGATTTCTTCAAATGCCCTGCCCCCACGCTCTGCCTCACGTGTGTGAGGCTGGAGGTGGCAGACAAACTGGGAGGGGAATTTTTGCAAACAGTGGAGGAGGAAGGGAAAACCCAGTGGAAAGTGTAAGGCTTGGGAGTGGACTGCTCCACTGGGTCAAGGTATCGCTGCTGCCAGTTTCCTAGTCTGTCAAAAGCACGTGGTTCCACTGCCTCCTCCCCACTTCATTAAGCTTGAGGCCCACAGTCAACCCCACCCCCACTCAAAAAAAATTGTTGCAAATAGCTCAACCCAATTAGTTTAGGCCGCCTGCGCTCGTGGAATTTTGGGAGGTGTAGTCTTGCTGGGGAAGAGCCCTCATTGGCCACTGCGGAAGGATGGACTACAAATCCCAAGATGCGCCAGCCATCACAACACTCTTCCCCACCCTCCGCTTCGCACAGCTTCCTGGGGTTGGTAGTTCTAAGGCTAGAAACTTTGGAGCCCGGAAAAGGAGAAAGAACTATAAATCCCGAAAGGACGTGCGCCCAACCCTCTCCCCCGCCCCTCTCTCAGGCAGAGTGGTGTTTTTGTTGTTGGTGAAAGGTGAGGGGAACAGCTGATCTTCTGGTGGGGTAAGAGAATTGGTCCTAATTTTTGTTTTGGGGGGAAGGGAGATTTATGGAGTGTCATCCCACTTTCCATCTTTGAAAAGGAACTCTAGGGAAACAGAGACTTTTTAAAGGGTTAACCCTTTAGTGGAAAGGACCCCCCCAGATCTCCCCCAGTGTTTGGGTCGCGTGGGTTTGAGGGGTTCCCTGGATTTGAAGGGAGCTCCCTGCTTGTCCTCCCCTCTTGCCTTTGGGTAACTCACCGTGAAGGACTGGGTAGGCTCGGGAGGTAGGAATTGAGGGTGCTGAAATGAGGGCGAACCCCCTTTTTGATCATCCTCTCCCAAAGCAACCATCTCCCTCAAAATCAGTTCCAGAGGCCTTCCCTGCCCTCCATGGGCAGGGCACTGGGGAGCTCTGGGGTTATGCGACAAGAGTGAGGGTCTCTCGACCGTCCCCATATGGATGCCCCTAAATCTGATCACACACACACACCCCTTTTTTATGATGGTGCAATGCATAGTTTTCTAATTTTTTCCCAGCCCTGGAGGAAGAATCCAGATTTAATGTAGTTTTTTGGCGGCTAGAGAGTTATCTAGACTTCCCCAATTTAGATTCTTGGGAATAAATTCCCCTCCCTACACCTTTACCCCCACCCTTTCAGAGAGTAGAAAAAATTGTCCTGATTGAAGGTAATGTAGAGAATCAGCAGGACTTAATTTGAGGGTCTTTGAGCCCAAGATAAATTAAAGAGTCAAAGGGGTTACATTGCATTTAATTTCCTGCCTGGTTTCCAAAGAAATTTTAAACCCTTTCCCAGTGGCACTTATACTCCCAGCTACCTTCCTCCTCCTGGGTTTATTTGTTTTTGTTTGTTTGTTTTTTTTAACTTCTTTTTTAACTTTAAAAGTCTCTGCCCCATCTTCCCCCTCCTGGCACCAACCAGTATGGGTCTGTGATGTTTTGGGGCCTGCACATGACTAGTGGCGTTTCCTGATTGGACATCCTGTGAGCTGCGTTTCCAACGTAGATGGGAGGGAGCAGGCAGAAAAGGGAGGACTCTCAATTCTGGGTAATAGTTTCTCTTTTCTAATCCTCACATCCCATCTTCTCTTACCCACCCTTCTGCCCCAGGGCAAACCAGAACACCCATGCTTTTCATACCCTACTCTGCAGCTATCAGTCTCAAAGGAGTAACTTAAATATTTAAGGTTGAAAACGGCAGAAACTGGAGTGGAAGGGATTGGTCTATTCTGGAGCTGAATTTGGTTTATTCTAGTTTAAGATATCAGGAGGTCAAGCATCCCAGTGGGATGGTAGGTCAAAGGTCCAGGAAGCAGGAGATGTCAGTTGTGTTCCATCGCCTAATACTGGAAATGAATCTTTACCTTCCCACCACCACCCCAGTCTCATCTGTGCCCAAGGGTGGGGTTTTCCTGGCTTCTGGCCCCTACATTCCATCTCCCCCATCCCACCACGTTCCTATCTGATGTTTCACTCCACCCTGAAGCAGCCGCCTCCAGGATTCCTGACTTCATGGGGTAATATTTAGGGAGTCCCAGCATAGAGCCAATCCCTTTCTATCTTTTCTTGGTCTTATGCCTCAAATGGGAATGGGGATAGTTGGGTTCCCAAAAATTTATAAGGATTAGGACACTCAGTAGAAAGGGAAAGGAGGACCCCTGGCTCAGGGGCATAAGGATTTCAGTTTGGACACTCCAGCCAGATTCTAGTCCTGGAGACTGAGCCATTCTTGTCCATTGGTTAATTCTTGTTATCAGTTGTCCTTAAAGTATTAAAATTGCAGCTGTGTCAACAGCCCCAAGAAGTGAGTGAAGGGGTCACTTTGACTTGGCGGGGGCAGTATGAGGAAGTAGAGTTCCCCCCTTTCTGTAATTTAATTCCATATTCAAGAGCTTTGGAAATTAAAGGCCTAAAGTCAGGGGAGGAACTGGAGAGGTGGATCTGGGGTGTAAGTTAAAGAAAGTAAGAATGAGGGGATAGAATTGGAACATGGAGCTGAAGGGCAGGGTAGGTTGGAGTTAGGGGCACTGAGCTTCTGTAGGGCAAGGATTTAAATTATGGAAAGTACCTGTGAGCCTGAGACTGAAAGGGGCAGATTGAAAGGCTGAATGCCCTGGTTCTAAGAACCAAGAATGAAAATATCTGGGTTCTATGCTCTTAGAGCCGTGATAATTGAGATTTGAGGGCCATGGTAATCGAGATTCCTTGGTCCCCGGGTCTGGTGGTTATTATAGTTGTGTATGAGGAAACAGATTGGGGAAGAGGTTAGCTTTGAAGCATTGAACCCCTCATTATCACCTGCCTACTGGACATCTCTACCTGATGGCTCATAAGCATCTCAAAGACAACATGTCCAAGCCAGAATTCATCCTCTTCCCAACCCCCCAACCACTCATCATCATGACTTCTCTGTTTCTGAAAAGGTCACCACTATCTTTCCAGTCCCTCCTCTTCAAAGTCTTGGAATCATCCTTTTCTCTCTTCCTCACACCCCCATGCCATTCATTGCCAAGTCTTGTCAGTCCTACCTCAACAGGACTTCTTGCATGTGTCCCCTTCTGGGTATTTCTTCAGCCACCACCTACAGCAGGTCCTCATTACCTCTGGCCTGAATTATTGCAAAACCCTCCTAATTGGTCTCCCTGATAACAGTCTTCTTTAAATCTAGTCCTTTCTCCACACAAACTGCCAGATCCATATTCCTAAAGCACAGTTGGGACCTCACTCATCACTCCTCTGCTCAAGAAGTTTTAGTGGTTCCCCATCACTGCTAACATAAAATGCATTTTTGAAACCATCTGGTTTCAAACTCTCTTTCTAGGTCTAGCCCAGTACTTCCCCCAGTGCACTTCTGACCAAAGTCCTCTTCTCAGTGTTCCCTAGATGTGACATTCTGGCCTTTACACAGGCTGTCTGCCCCCTCTGCCTTGGCTTCATTCAAGGCTCAGCTTCAGTACTACTTTCTGCTCGGGGCCTTTCCTGATCTCCCCCCAATCATTATCAGTTCCCCTCCCCAGAAAATACTTTAGTCATATTTTGTATTCACTTGACTGTGTACAAGTTGTTTTTGCGCAGTAGACCGTAAGTTCCTTGAGGAAAGGGACTGTTAACATTTTTGTCTTCTGTTCTCAGAAACTAGCACAATGCCTGATGCAATAGCAGGAGTTTAACAAGTGCTTATTGAATTGAATTAACCCCTCACTCCCTGGCAGGACTGAGATATCTAAGAAGGCATCATGGAGGAGTCATTGCTCAGCCGAACCCCACCCCGGGGTGGGGTCACTTTTCTGAATGTGGCCAGGACCTATATCCCCAACACCAAGGTGGAATGTCACTACACCCTACCCCCAGGCACTGTGACCAATGCCAGCGACTGGATTGGCATCTTCAAGGTACCCGTCAGGGAAGTGTGACTGTTTCAGGATAGAGGGTAGAGGGACAGAGGTTGCTTAAATGGACAGGTGGGAGGAGGAAGAGATGGAGGTGACAGCAATGCCTGGCTTTCTTGCCCCACTCCAGTACTGGGAATGAGCTGAAACTTCTCCCTTTCCCAATTGCCCTTAAGTTCCTCCAGGGCCCCTAGAACTGTCCCCCCACCAGTACCCCCAGTCCCTACCCCTCCAGCCCTAGAGTGCTCCCTAGCACCCTCAGCAGAAGGTAAGTCAGAACTCATGACATACAAAAGTCAGAAACAGTTATAGCCTAAAAGTCCCATTCCAATTTTGGGCACTTACAGAAAGAGGCCTCCTCAGTCCGAGATTATCACACCTTTGTCTGGTGCGTGGTACCTGAAGGTGCAGCTGAGGGCTCTGCTGTTCACTCCAGTGTCCAGTTCCAAGGTATGTGGGAAGACCAGAGGCCTGGGAGGAGGAGCAAGGGGCCAGTTATAGGAAAGGTAGGCTAGAGAGAGAGACTAAGAGACAGGAGCTCAGACACAGAGAGGAAATAAGTGCAAAGGAGTACAATGGAAATTACACACAGCTGTATTCAGGGAGTGTAGAAAGCCAAGGGGATTTCATAGATGCTTAAGGTTGATAGGGACTGGAGGTACCAGACATTAGTCCAATTGCCCACACGAATCAGGATTTCTCTTTTAGAACTGGGAGAATTAGTCTGAGAAAGCTTTCTGGAGTAGGAGGCTGTGGAATAGGGTTGAGAAGGAGGAAGGTTAGGAGAAACAGCCTATGAGAAGCTCTGAGGTGGAAGAGAGAAGGGGCCAGAGGAACAGAGCTGGGGAGTCCTGGGAGATGAGGAGGGGTTAGTAGAGAGAGGGTGTTGGAAAAGTTCAGAGGTAAAAATTCGGTGTGGGGCAGGGTCGAGGTCTTACTCCTAAGGATCCTTAGGTGCCCAACTCTTCCCATAGCCAGCTACCTGCCCAAGCCAGGTGCCCAGCTCTACCAGTTCCGCTATGTAAACCACCAAGGCCGAGTGTGTGGCCAGAGCTCCTCATTCCAGTTTCGGGAACCAAGGCCCATGGATGAACTGGTGATGCTGGAGGAACCCGAAAGCGGTTCTGATATCCTGCTTGTTGTCCCCAAGGCAACAGTGCTCCAGGTAAATGAGAGGAATGGTGCCCGGGGCGGGGGAAGGGCAGCACCTCCATCCTTGTTCTCATGTCTTTGTTCTATACATTGTGAATTACACCTGGCTCCTGGCCTCAAGGAACTTTCTATAGAAAAGATGAGATATAGGGTCTAGACGTGGGGGAAGAGACTAGGAACAGTTAGCATCCCAGGGAACAGACTAGTTCAGAACAAAGACCAGATGGACAGAGTTCTACCTTTCAACTGTTGAGTGGATAAGTAGAGACTGGATAAGCATAGCCAGGAGCTTGGGCTGGAGGCAAGTGGAAGTGATAGGGGAAATGCTTCATCTGGGAAGTCTTCCTGGAAAGTAGGAGATAAAGAGCAGCCTTAAAAAAAAAAAAAAGATGTCTAGCGAGTAGGAGTGTTATCCAGATGATGGTGATGGATACAGCCCTTAGATACAGCCCCTTAGAAAAGCCCAAGGCCAAGAGAGAAAGTTATGAAAAACAATTTTGAAAAAAATAGAAATATTAAGAATGGACAATGAGTATATTCTGTATAAGTCAGAGCTCACCTTATAAAAATCAGGAATGGGGCAGCTAAGTGGCGCAGTAGATAGAGCACCGGCCTTGGAGTCAAGAGGACCAGAGTTCAAATATGGCCCCAGACACATAACACTTACTAGCTGTGTGACCCTGGGCAAGTCACTTAACCCCATTGCCTAGCCCAAAAAAAAATCAGGAATGGTTAAAGCAAAGGAGCCTTATTCTCAGATTTGGAAACATTGGGGAAAGCCATGTCTTCTGTCCAGATGAATCATGGAAGGTTTGCCAGAAGAAGGAGGATTCAGGCATTGTTAGGCCAGGGATGGAGTAGTTATGATAAGTTACAAATGAATAGGGCCGGAAGAAGGTGGAAGTGGAATGAACAGCTGGGAGGGCTGTGCCTAATGAGCAGGGGATGGAGGTAGGGTCAAGTGGCGTAGACATTTTTCCAAGCCTGTTTCCCCTTTTGCCCGTCGTTTTTATTATTCATAATGATTGGGCTTCCCAGCCTAGAACCACTACCCATTCTTGGGTGGGGTTTGGAGGGAATCGGAAAGATTGGCATGGGGGTAATGGGGGAGGGGGATTGGTGACTGACATTACGTGAGCATCTCTAGAACCAGCTAGAAGAAAGCCAGCAGGAACGGAATGACCTGATGAGACTGAAGTTGCAGTTGGAGGGGGAGGTGACGGAGCTGAAGAGCAGGGTGCGTGAGCTGGAGACCACACTGCAGGTCACCAAGGAGGAGCAGGCCAAGCTGATAGAGCAGTACAAGGTGGGTAGGAGCACCTACCTGCAAGCCCATGAGGGCTCCAGAATCTGAATGCTTGTAGAGGAAGAGGGGGAGTTGGAGGGGGTGGGGGAGTCAGGATAGCTCTGTCCTCAAAGGAGTGGGGCTGGTACAATCCGGATCAACATTAGGTCTCAGGAAGAACTTCCCCATCCATCAGTGGGGGACCAAAGGGAGCTATGACATTTCCTCTTGTAAAGGACTTGTTTAGACATGGTAGTATGGGATGGTTCACAGCATAATATGGTGAAATGATCACTGGTCTTACAGTCAGAAGACTCAAGTTCCAGTCCTGGCTCTGAACATTTACCATCTGGGCATTCATTAGTGTGACATCAGACGAGTCACTTAAACATACTCTGCCTAAGTGTCTTCATCTGTGAAATGGGAGTATTCATTTTATCCCTTATGTAGTAGTGTTGAGGAGAAGCACTTTGTAACTATACTATTAAGTGTTCTGTAAATGGAAGTTATGGATTATCATTATGGGGTGGGGGAGGTCCAACACAGAGGTGAGGGGGTGTCTGAGATGGCTCCTCCAAGTTCCCTTCAAGGAGGACGCCTCATGGTGCAGTGGGACAAGCAGTGGCTTTGGAATCCTGGCTCTGCCACTTCTGCCTGAGTGACCTTGGACAAGTCACTGAGCTTCTTTGTGCCTCAGTATCCTCATCTGTAAAATTAGGGGGTTGGGCTCTATGGCCTCTGGGGGATCCCTTCCAGCTCTCAATCTACATTCTTGTGTGGTGGTGGGAACAGAAGGGAGAGGGAGGAAGCCTCCAAAGTTTTTGAGCTCCCTTCCTACTCCCCCTTTGCCTCTGTTTCCCTCTCGATGAGGGGAGTCTCAGCCTCCTTCTTCTTCTGGGATAACCCCAGGGGCTATCACGTGCCCATGGAGAGCTTAAAGAAGAGCGGGATGTCCTGAGCAGACAACAGGGAGATCATGTGGCCCGGATCCTGGAACTGGAGGATGACATCCATACCATCAGTGAGAAGGTGCTGGAGAAGGAGGTGGAGCTGGACAGGTAAGGAGGCCCCCTTACCCTACTCCACCCCGATACCCTAGCTAAGACCCAGGAGTCAGTGGGGAGATTCCATCATGGAAGAAAGTTCATGAGCCTGGTCAGTAAAAGCCACTCGAGGGTAGTATAAGAATGCATCTGTTGGCATAATGTCAACAAGCAGGAATAAGGTTAGACTCTCAGGATTTACTGACAGCCAGGATTACACACTGTTAGAACTAGGTCACTGAGAGCTTGTAGCTTCTCTTAGCCCTGGAGATTTAAAGTCATAAAATGAATCTTAGCATTAGAAAAGAACCTTATGGATCATCCAGCCCAGCCTCTCCTTCAGGACAGTTATCCCTTCTGTAAAATCTCTGACAGGTAGTCAGCCAGCTTTTGCATGAACACTTCTAACAACAGGGAGCTCACTACCTTACCTAAGGTAATACATTCCATTTTTGAATACTTTTTAAAATTTTTTATTTTTAATTTATGGACTATAACAAGCATTTCTATGACTTGGTACAATAAAAAAGGTGATCGTACATGAAACTGCAACTCTACTATGCACAACTTGCTATTCCTTTCAAATATACAATAAAATCATCCCTCCTGTCCTTCTGTCCACATAGGGAATCATACCCTTACCTGAGAGTGCTCTGCCCAAAGAAATATAAATCTTGATTGCTGAAACCTAGCAAGATGTCTTGAGGTTTATGGGCTAGATTTCTTTTTTATGGACCATGCCTAAACACAAACACTCTGGCTCTCATTGATTGGCCCACAGTAGGTCCCAGCTCAAGCCTCACTTGGTCATTGTTTGGATTCTGATAGCTCAGAGTGAATGTAAATAGCAATTGTTGCTGTTTTGGCCAGATAGATCTGAGGGTCTTCACCTCCCAAGTTGATTTTTTTTTTCCCTAGGGAAAAGAGACCATTCTTTGCCTCATTTCTTTACCTGGCCTTAATCACTAAATGGGCGTTGTCTCAGGTAAACTGAGATGTGGGAAAGACCTTTGCTTAAAAGGCCAAGGTCTCCCACTGCATCCAGGAACATCTTCAGTCGGCCTGATCTGTATCTTGCCACTGGACCCAGATGGCTCTGAAGGAGAAAGTGAGGTTGGTGACTTTGTACAGCCTTCCCTCACTTAAATCCAATTCACTTGCAAGTCATGACATCTCCTTCCTGATGTCATGGTCCTCTTCAAGAAGAAGGACAAATAACAACTGAATCATGTAAATTTGTTTTATTTCCTCCCCCCACCCCCTCAGATGGCTGCTAGATGGCTCAGATGGCTGTTAGACACACACATGCACACACACTTTCTCTTTTAATTGTCAAATTTCTCTCCCTTCCATTTCTACCGATTGGTCCTAGTTGTGTCTTATGGAACTGTAATGCAATAAGCCTTAACTCTTCCACATCATAACCTTTCAGATATTAAAAGAAATGTCTTCTGTTTTCCAGGCTAAATATTTTCGGTTCCTTTAATTGTTTCTCATACAATTTCTGACCCTCAGTTATCCTCCTAGGACAGGGTGTTCTTAACCTTTATTTTCGTCCTTGACCCCTTTGGCCATGTTCTGGTGAAGCTGATGGGGCCCTCCTCAGAATGATGTTTGTTGCTTACTTTCAAAAATGAAACAAATGCTAAATATTAGTTAGAAAAAAGTGAAAATAAAGATGTCATTTTCCCCCAGTCCAAGTTCAAACCCCTCTAAAATCTCCCTACCTTAGGTTGTCAATATCCCTCTTAAAATATGGTCCCCAAAGGATTAACCGCAGTCCTCTAAATTTAGTCCGCCTATCCACAGGACAATGATACTGTTATCTCTCCATCTCAATACTGTATTTTTGTTAATGCAGCCAACAATTACATTAACTTTTTGGCAGCCATGCAACATTTTGTATTCTGATTGACCTTGCAGTAAAATTAGGTCTTTTTTCCATGACCTGATACTAAATCAGGTCATACTCATCTTGTACCTGGGCGGTTGCTCTTTTGAGCCCTTTGCTTCTACCTAGAAGCAGAGGGATAAATAAGTAGACCTCTGATGTCTCTTCGGGTCTATGGCACCTATAAATCTTGCCCATCAGAAGGGTTCAGAACGTTGAGGCCTGGAAGAGCCAGGAGGAGGTAAGGCAACTGGGACCTGAGACTCCAGCTAGGGAAAGCAGTTAATTACAGCTGATGTGAGTTCCCAGGATGGAACCAGCCTAGAGCCAGAAAGGGTTTAGAACAACATCATCCTGTTTTTATGTCTGAACCATACAGGAACAGGTAAGAAAGACTGGTAAGGGCTGAGTCAAGAAGGGAAACCTAATGGCAGAATGTGGGCACAAACCATGGAGCTTGCCTCCCAGGTAACCAGCTAGACTTGGAGTCAGGAAGTCATGAGTTCTAACTTTGTCTTACTGGCTGTCAAGTCAAGTCAGTAAGCATTGATTTATTTATTTGTTTGTTTGTTTGTTTGGGGGGAGACATCCGGGTTTAAGTGACTTGCCAGGGTCACACAGCTAGTTAATATCTGAGGACAGATTTGAACTCAAGTCCTCCTGACTCCAGGGCTGGTGCTCTATCCACTGCCGCATCTAAGCTACCCATCAACAAGCATTTATTAAGCACCTACTATGTGCCAGACACTGTTCTAAGTACTAGGTTACAAAGAAAGGCAAAAAACAAAAACAAAAACAAAACCAGTCCCTTCTCTCGAGGAGCTCACATTCTAATGAGGGAGACACCATGCAAACAGCTATGTACAAACAAGATATATATGAGATAAATTAGAGATAATGAACAGAAGGAAAGAATTAGCATTAAGGAAAGACTTCTTATAGAAGGTGGGATTTTAGGTGAGACTTGAAAGAAGCCAGGGAAGCCAGAAGGTAGAGATGAAGTGAGAGCATTCCAGGCATGGAGAACAGCCAGGGAAAATGCCTGGAGTTGGGAAATGGAGCGTCTTGTGCAAAGAACAGTGAGGAGGCCAGTGTCACTGGATAGCTGAGTCCTGGGGGTGTGGGTGAGGAAGGCAAGTCATGTGGAAGAAGACTAGAAAGGTAGGAGGTTATGAAGGTCTTTGAACACTCAACAGAGGATTTTATATTTGATCCTGGGAGTGATTGGAAGCCACTGGAGTTTATGGAATGAGGGAAAGGGTGGCATGTTCGGTTACATAGACAGCTGAATTTGGGGAAATGGAAGCTGAGTGGAGGGTGGACTGGAGTGGGGGAGGCGCATCAGCAACCATTGCAATAGTTCAAACATGAGGTGATGAGGACCTGCACCAGGGCGGTAGAGAGGAGAGAAGGGGACATACGTGACCTATGTCACAAAGGTAGAAACAACAGGACTGATTGGATTGGGGTGGGGGGAGTGACAGAGAGTGAGGAGTTGAAGATGACACCTAGATTGTGAGCCTGGGTGATCAGAATGTTGTGGTGCCTTTGACAATAATAAGGAAGTTAGGGAGAGGGAAGGGTTTTGGAAAAAAGTTAATTTGATTATGGACGTGTTGAGTTTAAAATGTCCATGAGATATCCGGTTCGAGATGTCCATTAGCGGTTGGAGATCCAAGACTGGAGATCAGGAGAGAGCTTAAGCTGGACAGACAGATCTGAGAATCATGTGCTTAGAGATTATAATTTAATCCATGAGAGCTGATGAGCTCGCAAAGCAAAATCGTCTGCAAGGAGATGAGAAGAGAGCTTTGGGGGACACCCATGGTTGGTGGGTGCTACGTGACCCTGGACAATTAATTCAGCCTCTCTCACTCTCAGGTTCTCATCTGTAAAATAAAAGAATTGGACGCGACAGCCTGAAAATCCATCCCTTCCAGCTCTGAATTCTGTCCATGTTATCCTTGGTCCACAGGGTCAAGGACACAGTGAAGGCATTGACTCAGGAGCAGGAGCAGCTTCTGGGGCAGCTGAAGGAAGAACAAGCAGACAAGGAGCAGAGCCAGGTGAGGGGCCAAACAGGGAAGGGGCAGTGCCAGGTCTTCTTGGGGAAGGAGGGAGCAAGAGGCAGCGGGTCTAAAATTGCAGTTGTCTAAAATCTCACCATACCCATGTACTGCCGGAAACACTGGGCCGGGGAGCAGGACAGCCGAGTCCGGGGGCGCTCAGGCTCCCCTTGGGTTCCGATGCTGGATCCCTTCGAGGCTGGGAAACTGACTGGTTCTGGTTTGGCTTTATCAGCCTGTAGAGCAGACCGTGCTTTATGGTCCAGAGACGTTACAGACGTTCCCCTCAGCTATAAGTAGAGTAGTGGATAGAGTACTGGGCTTGGAGTCAGGAAGATTTGAGTTCAAATCCTGCCTCAGACACATACTAGCCAGGCAAATTTCTTAACGTCCCCCAGCCTTCATTTCCTCATCTATAAAATGAGAGGGTTGGACTTCAGACACTCTCCGGCCCAGCTCTTATTCTGTGATTGTGTGATTACCACCAGGCCGAGCTGCAGGTCTCACAACTGGAGTGCTGTCGCCTGAGTGCAGACCTACAGAAGGCCAAAAGTCATCAGGGGGAGCAGGCCTCTCAGCTCCAGAGACTGCAGGAGGAGGTCACCCGAATCCAGAATCTGCTGGATGAGGCCCAGCGGCGGATTGTGAGTAAGGGCCTGGACGCCTGAATTCTGGGCAGGAGGAGCCAGAACAGTATCGCGGCCTTCAGTGTAGGACAGAGGGGTCACACTCTGGGTAGCAGCTCCAAATGCTCCCTGAACCAGCTTAAAATGCAACCGGGAAATGTTTAACAAGATAAATAAAAATATAATACAACATAGCGTTCATCTGAGGCTTTCTAAGGCAATATGCAGTCCTCAGGGTTCCATTAAACTTTGATACCCCTAGTATGGAGGAAACCTGAGAGACCCCAGGAATGGAAAGGGAAAGGAAGGGATTAGCTGCTGTGGTTTAGAGAATAGGGCACCTGGGTCCTGAGTGGAGGAAGAATGTAGAAGATAGGAAATGTCAAGGTTGAAAGTCTTGGGGTCCCCATATTAGCTCAGGTGTAACTGACTCCATGCCTGTGTTCTCCCTGGAGGCTGAACTGGAGCCCCTGAAAGAGCAGCTTCGGGGGACCCAGGAGCTCGCAGTCTCGAGCCAGCAAAAGGCCACCCTGCTTGGGGAGGAGCTGGCCAGCACAGCAAGTGCCAGAGACCGAACCATGGCCGACCTCCACAGGAGCCGGCTGGAGGTAGCCGAGGCCAACAACAGGCTGGTGGAGCTGAGCCTGCAGTGGAGAGAGGACAAGAGCTCCTGGAGCAAGGAACGCACAGGACTTCTGCAAAACGTAGAGGTGCAGAGATGGGGGTAGGAGGACGGGGTGCCTCCACAGGGAGGCAAGAAATGTAAGAGCCGTATCAGGTGTTTCCTGGGGAGAGCTTTAGCCTCCACCCCTATCCTGGGTTAAAAAAAAGGAGGTGGTTGGCCCTTGCCAATTCAGCTGGTTTGGGGTTTGGTGGGGAATGAGTCTGAACCACACTTTTCTATCGTGTCTACTCCTGACCCATAGAGTGCCTCCTCCTCCCACCCCATTCCTATCCCACATGCCCTCCTCCTGACCTTCCGGGGCCTTCTTTCCATTTTCCCCTATTCTTCACAGACTCTGGGACCATGGGAGTTGAGTGAGGGAGGCAGCAAAGGGGATCAAGAGAAGTAAGACCAGTGAAAGGCAGGGAGGCGGTGCAAGGGTGGGGCTCGTCTCAGTGACATTCTCCTTCCTGCCCTTTTCCTCTCTGCCCATGCCCAGGCGGAGAAGGATAAGATCCTGAAGCTGAGTGCAGAGGTCCTGAGACTGGAGAAGGCCGTGCAGGAGGAGAGGACCCAGAGACAATGCCTCAAAGCTGACCTGGCTCGAGAGAAGGATTCCAGCCTGGTAAGATCTCCATCACCCGTGCCTCCACCCACAAGCCCCTGCAGTCCGCTGCCCCTTCTCCCTAAATGCCTAGAGTGTCAGCTCACAAGCCAGAGGTCAGGGGATCGTAGATCTAGGGCTGGAAGGCATGGCCGAGGCCAGAGAGTTCAGCTCCCTCTTTTTACAGACTGGGAAACTGAGGCCCAGCGACAGCGGTTGACTTGCTGAGGATGATGCTCGGGTGCATTTTGTTTTGCGTCTTGTTTACGAGCAGCCCTGTCTGCTTGGATCTGAGGTTTAGAACCCCTCTTTCCACCACTAGTATATATGCCTTTGGTTTCAGTTTGATTGACTTGAGGTGACCCAGGCTGACAAACTCTGTAGGTTGGAACATGTCATGACTAAACACTGGTCAGGACTTAAGCGACCCACACTCAGCCTAGTTATAGTCTCTCTCAGACCCTAAGTCCTTAAAAAAAAACAGAAGGAGCCAGGTCTCCTACTTCCTAGTCTGAGATTTGGGGGTTAGGGAAGGGATTGTGGGTCGGGTGGAGTATTGAGGGGGAGCAGAGTGGAGAGGCTGTCTTTGGCATCCCAGGTTTCTTCCAGGCCACAGAGGTCAGGTTCTAAGAGAGAAGTTCTAGATTCCATGTTCTCCGTGGCCCTTCTCCTTCAGGTACAGCTGTCGGAAAGCAAGAGGGAGCTAACGGAGCTTCGGTCGGCCCTTCGGGTGTTTCAGAAGGAAAAGGAGCAGCTGCAGGAGGAGAAGCAGGTGAGCTGGCACGGCCACAGCTTCTGCACAGAGCAGGCAGCGTCCAGCTTTGCTGACTCCTCTGAGCAGCCAGAGCCCCGGCCTGGGGCCTGCGTGGGACAGTGGCGAAAGGGAAGCCTTTGGAGTCAGAGGACACGGGTTCAAATCCCAGCTTTGTTCCTTACCAGCTGTGTGACCCGGGGTGCTCCTGCGCCTTAGGCTTCTCATCTGTAAAGTCTGTCACATGTGGACTCGGGAGGCCCCTGAGCTTCCTTTCAACTGTATGATATAAGAACTTGGGGCCTCTCAGAGAGGATGTGGTCACTTTCAGTTCCCTGAACATTAGAATGTCATATGTTATTAGAACATCAGATGTTATTACATAAGTCTATTTATATAGTTCTATTATATAATAGCATTGGTGTGATATTAGTGGAGGAATAAAGTGCTAGCAGCAAGCTCAAGAGCAGAGGTGCAGGAGGATCTGGAATCAAAGCTGGGAGGGGGTGGAGTTGCCCCTCTTCTTCCCCTGCCCCAGATGTCCTCGCTCCCTTTGTGGGGTGCTGACCCCAAGGAATGCCGGCAGAACTCATCCCTGGGACCAGGGAATCCTCCTGGCCCAGGTGGGTTGGGGCCATTTCTGTCCTTACCATGTGCCCTCACCCAGGAACTACTCGAATATATGAGGAAGCTGGAGGCCCGCTTGGAAAAAGTGGCCGATGAGAAGTGGAGCGAGGATGCAGCCACCGAGGATGATGAGGCGACTCCGGGGCTGAGTCTGTGCATCCCCGGCCCCCCTTTCTCCAGCCTTCCCTTCCCCACCCCCAGCATCACTCAGTGCCTACCAGGCCCCCAGCCCTCTTCCCCAGGGTCCCTTGTAGGAATTGACCCCCTCTCCCATGTGCCCCCTGATGGGGGTTGGTTCCAGGTCCTTTCCCCCTCTCCTCTTCTTAGAAGGCCCCAAGACCTTGACAGGCCCTCCTCTTCCCCACTCACAGGCTGCCCTGCGGCAGTTCTGACAGACTCAGAGGATGAATCCCCAGAGGACATGAGGCTTCCTTCCTATGGGTTGTGTGAGCGAGGAGGCCCTGGCTCTAGTCCCTCTGGACCCCGAGACACCCCTGGCCACGTGGTCATCAGCCAGCCATCCCCTATTGCTCCTCACGTGACAGGGCCCCACGATGACAGTAGCTCTGACTCGGTGAGTAGAACATGCAGGACAGTCTTTGGGAGAAGGGGGTAGGGCAGGGTTAAAAGGGTCATACCAGATGTCTTAGCCTCCAGACACATTTTCAACCTGATGGGTCACTCTCCTCTCCCTGATTGGGGAGGGAAGGGACTCAGTTGTGCCCAGCCTATCCAAGTCCATTTGACCACTGCTCCTGGCCTCCATCCACACCCTCCATCTCCAACAGACTCATCTTGGTCCCATATTCCAGTCCCCACCATTCAGGCCCTGGTTCACTTTTGCCAGGCCCCATTCATGCTTCTTCATCTCCCTTCTCCATCCCCCAACTTCTAAAATGCTGCCCTACTCTACCCTGTGTCTGAGTGCCCAGGAGGCAGAAGATGAAAAGGCAGTACTGATGGCAGCAGTGCAGAACGGAGGGGAGGAGGCCAGTCTGCTGCTTCCCGAACTAGGCAGTGCCTTTTATGACGTGGCCAGGTGAGGTGGGAAACTACAAGGGCATGTGCCAAGTCAGAGTGGTGCCCCTGTGGCCAGGGATAGCTCTCAGTCATTTGCTATACGTGGTGCAAACAGTCACTATGCCCCTCCCCACACCCGTCTTCTTGATCGAAGCCAAGATGGAGGAAGGGCCCAGGGGTGGGGTCAGTGGCCAGCAAGGTTACCTGCTACCTCCAAAGTCCCAGATGCCTCTGGGTTCCAGATTTCACTCAACTTAAGACTGTACCATCAGTACTCAGAGGCTCTACTTGTAACAAGCTTCTGTGTTGTTTTAGCACCATCTTCCGTGGAGCCCAAATTGTCTTGCACCCCCTCTCTCCTGCCCTTCCCCCCCCCCCACACTGGCAGGTAGGTGCCCAGACCTCTGGATAAAGGGAAGCAATCAAGGACCGCAGGGATGGGAAAGCTGGGATTCAGCATCTGATTATCTATGGGTCTTTGGCTTTCCCCAACTCCCTTGGGGCCTCAGCACGGGGTGGAGTTGGAGAGGGGGAGAGCCAGGTATCAGAGTGGTAAGTGCCTCCTCCCACCCAGGAAAGGGTAAAAAGATTGAGATACAGGCATCTGACCCCCAGCTTTGTCCCAGACATGGGGACAGACTTAGGGCAAAGGAGGTGGGAGAAAGCTGTCATCTCCTCCTTGGCTAGAGCAGGAAGATGAAGGACGATGTCATAGTCATTTTCGGCCTCATTAGGCAGCAGACAGAGATGGAGGGAGGAGAGCAGGGGGTTGGGGGATGGGCTTTGGAAACTTGGCTGAGGAGGCCAGTGAGAGGCTGGGGAGGTAATGGATGCCAGCATCTTTGAGAGTTAGGAAAAAGACAAGGCCTCTTTGGTTCTGCCCCTTGGGCCTCTGCCTTAAGAAGAACCAAGAGAGGGAGTGATGCAGGCAGCCTAGGAAGTTGGACACCTGTGTCCGTTTGCCAAGAGCAAGAGCAACTAGGAGCCTGGGCATCTGGATTTCTGCTCCTAGGATCAAGGAGGAAGGGGTAGGCCAGCAGGACTAAATCACCTCCCCCACCACTCTACCTCTCCATAGTGGCTTTGTTGGGGGCCCCCTTTCCGAGGCCAGCCCAGGGGGGCCTGCCGCCCCGCCTTGGAAGGAGTGTCCCATATGTAAGGAACAATTTCCTGAGTGTGACAAGGATGCCTTGGAGGAACACGTGGATGGACACTTCTTCTTCAGCGCCCAGGATCCTTTTGCCTTTGAGTGACATACACACACACACACACACACACACACACACACACATTTTTTGTGGCAGACTGAATTTTAGACCGTCAAGACCCCTAAGAAGTCCTCACCCTACTCCATTTCCACTTAGTTTGACCTTGAATCCTCAAGGATTCCTCCCCCAACCAAACAAGACACTACCCCCAACGGTTTGAAAGACAGACTGAGGCTCCAGGGAAGGTATCCTGCTTGCTTTCCACTTGAGCCACCAGGCGCTCTGCCCTTGAAAGCGAAGATTATCCCTCCAAACAGCCTGGCTTCTGCTATGTCAGTGTTCCACAGCCAACCCACGGAGCACATCCTCCTCCCCGTTCATTCCCATTTGAGGTTTATATTTGTTTACCTGACTTCTTCTGTCTCTGGGTTTGCATGGAGGCAGAGAAATCAACCTAATGACTTTTTAACGACCCTTCCAGCTCTAGGCTTCACTTTTTTCTGTTCCCTCACTCCCTTTCCCTAGCTTGCCCATGTAATTAGACATTAAGTTTTGTGGCTTTTTGGGGGGGTTAAGAAGGCCTCCTACACCCAATTTCATCCCTTTCCTGGCAGTACCCTCCTACCCCACATGGAAAGAAAAATTCATCTGTGCCTTTTGTGTTGGGGGAGGGGGGAGCGGCTGAAACCAAGTATTTCCATCTCCTGGACTGTCCTCATCCCACTTGACAGCAATAAGATATTCTTCCCTAATACCCTCCCTGTCACTACCACATGTCCTCCCTTCCCCCACCTCAAGTTGTGTAGCATGGGCAGAGATATTTATATGACATGTATACTATTCTAATAAAATGTGTTCTTACCACAAGCCTTGACTAAGATAAAGGGGTTCAGGTATTTGGAAACAGGTGTTCCCACACTCCCTGGTCTCCGGATCTTGGTGAGAAGAGGAATTTAGTCATTTGGAAAAATGGAGCTGGGTGAGTTCCAGCCATGTGTCCCCCACGGCTGCCAGTTCCCAGTGGGAAGAAGAAAAGGAAGCCTGGCCGAGACTGGACCTGACTCCCCGAGGGGCTGCAGTTAGTTCACTTTCCTGGCTTTTAACAGAGGGTTTGGGTTCTCTCCAAGAGACCAGGGAGGTGGGAGGGACACTATGTCTATCTCAGAAGGAGGCAAAGAGCTTGGTGATCGGAAGGACCCACCCAGTCCTGCTCAGGCTCTGGCTCCTTCCACTGCCTTCACAGCATCGAGGGCTAGGAAACAGTGAGTGGTGCAATGGGAAAAGGGCTGGGTTTGAAGTATGCCACCCATGTGGTTTTGGGCACATCAGTTAACCTTCGAGGCCTTAGTTTCCTCACCTGTAAAATGAAGGTGTTGAACTAGATGACCTCTAAGCCCCTTTCAGTTCAAAATCTACTGTACTATGACCTAAGTTAGGCACTCATTTTAACCTGCTCCTTGTTAGAAAATTGTAATAAATCTCCCTGCCAAAGTGGGTTCTCCCACCCCCGTGACCACTCAAGGACCTGTCAGATCTTTACTTCTTATTCCCTAGCACTCTTCCTCAAGGGTTCTACCATCCTCAGTCCTTAGCCTGACAGAGGCATGTACCATCCTCATCACTCTGTCCCCCAGGCCCAGGCCCTTACCCCTTATCTTTACCCCAGTTCCCTAGACCCCCACTTTTCCAGCTCCTGCATGATGCTCGGTCCTACAAATTGATGCCTGTTAGAAACACACCCATCAACCCCTACCACAGAATGTGTTCAAGATGGCACACACCTCCAAGGCATTTACTGAGCACACCTGCCAGAAGGGACACAAATATCACAAACATACTAAATAAGGTGCAAACAACACTCAGATATAGCCATGAAAACACCCAGCCATAGAGAATTTGGTGCACACAGTTGAGCACGTGATTGTCCCACCCCCAATCATAGTCACACCCACACTGGACCCCAGTCAGCTTTTGGCCAATTCATCCTCCATCCCGTCAGTGACAACCACACCCACACTCCCATCCACCTGAAACCCTCCTAAACCCCCCTCCTCTCCTCCCAGCTTCACCTGGACTTACATCCTCCCCCTTGCCCTACTACTCTGTCTCCTAGCAACCTCACCTCCCTCCCTGAATCCCTTCCAAGGAAATTAGAGATAATGGATATCTTCTCTCTCCATCTCAGCCCCTCTTTATTGATCCCCCTTTAATGAAAGTTAATTATAACAATGATTTAATTAATAGAATCCCTCTCTTCCTTTATTGCTTCCCGTATTAAAACTATTAATAAATACGAGCCAGGCTGACAGAGGCATCCATCACCCAGTTGGGATTCCTCCCCTCATTGTCCCCTCCCCCCAGCCCCCACTGCTACTCTCCCTTGGCCTATAAACTTGCTGGGGTAGTAGGGGTTAATCAGAGAGGAATTATGAGCCCAAACCAGTATGGGGTCTGTTTAGGAGGTAATCACTTAGTGAATCTAGAAAGGGAGGGAGCCAAGAATCTAGCCATCTTGTCCCCTAAATATGTGGCCTACTAAATGTGGGAATAAGAAGAAAAACTGAGGGGGAGGGGACCCAGGAATCCTAATCCTCAGTCTGGGAAAACCATTATTTCCAAAATCATGCTATGATGCAGAGAACTAGATAAAGTAGCTGAACCTCCCCTCCTCCCGCTGAGAAGTCACAGCACCAACCCCTCAGTAGAAACAAAGGAATGGAGACCCACACTAGGAAGAATGGGGAGCACTTGGAAAGAGGGCTGGCAATAAGTCAGAGAAGCCTTCCTGGAAGTAGGGAGTTCACAGCAGAGTTGGGTGGGGGTGTCTCCCACTCTGAGGGGTACACATGGACAAAAGAGGCAGCCTAAGCCCATCTTCAAGGCTCATCTGATTATTGGCTGCTTTCATCTTCCAGGACCCTCTGCTCCCATCCGCACTTGACCCTTAGCTACTACCAAGGCTTTGTACAAATGTTTCTTCCTACCAGATATACAATTATTCTTCCCCAGCTCTGTCCTTGCCCCCTTCAACCCTGTTTCAAGTTCTCCTCCTCCAGGAAATTCCTAACCTACTCTCGGCTTCTCTTCCAAGCTGCACGTGTTACCCCCTAGAGATCTGTCCAGTTGCTCCCATTTCTGTCCTTTGTATGTCTATGTGGTCTACCCCAATAGTCCATCCAGAAGAATAAAGGGCTATATATCCCTTCTTTTGTTCTGACCTCCCCAAGGCATCAAGGACAAAAATCTACCTACTGTGGAAGCTCAGCACAAGGTGAATGACTGGCCTTGGAACTGATACTCTTGGGTTTCAGTCTTCACCTAATTCACTTTTCACAATCAGGAACTCACATCTTTGGGGACTTTATTTTGTTTTTCAAAGATTTTTTAATGATTTTTTTAAAAAATGGCTTTCACTTCCCAGTAACCTCCCCTCCCAATAAGAATCCTCTCTTGCAACAAAGAAATACACTTAAGAGGCAGCTAGGTGGCACAGTGGATACAGCACCGGCTCTGAAGTCAGGAGGACCTGAATTCAAATGCAACCTCAGACCAAACACTTAACCCTTACTAGCTGTGTGACCCTGGGCAAGTCACTTAACCCCAATTGCCTGAAAAAAATACATTCACCAAATTTGACAGTGTATGTCTCATTTTGCACCTGTAGTCCACCTTGCTCTACAACATCAATATTTTGGCCTATTTTACCATCTGTAACATGGAAATAATACTTTATTCTTCTCCCTTCTTCACTATATTGGCACCAAAGATAATGGATGTGAAAGCATTTAGAAATACTAAAGTGAGAAAGGCTTCATATTACAGCAGAAAAATTCAATTGAACAATAGATACATATTGAGATAATATGGTAATACGGTTGTAGGATGATAGATGTAGAGATGGAAAGAACCTGAGAAATCATCTGTTCCAACCTCATTTTACAGATCAAGAAACTGTGACCTAGGGAAGTTAAGTGATGTGCCCAAAGTCACAGTGGGAGAAAATGTAGAAGTCAAACCTAGGTTTTCTGATGCCAAGGCCAATGATCTTACCACGATGAAACAATTTTTCACAGTAACTGTCAGGTGAACAAAGACAAAATTGGGGAGGAGCACTGAGGCACTGACCCTGCAAAAACTAATACTCACTGTCACTGTCCCCAGGGGTAATTGCTGTTGAGTTGGCCCTCCACACTCAGATATCGGCTTTAAAAGATAGAAGACCATTGGTCTCTCTCCCAAGGAAGTCTCTACTATACTTTTGTTTAAGGCAGTGATCCTCTGTTTGGTAATAACTGACATACTGTGCTTCAAAGTTTGCTAAATACATGTATTACCTTATTTTATCCTCATAATAGCCCTGTGAGGTAGCTATGACACATATTCTTGTCCCCACTTTCCAGATGAGGAAGCTAAGGCTCAGAGAGATTAAATGATTTATGTCACAAAAGCTAGTTAAGTGTCAGAGGCAAGGATTCAAGCCCCAGATCCATCCCTCTTTCTACTATGTCATTCAGAAGCTCTTCAAATCTAATAGGGTTCTTTCACAGAGACCCTGTTCTTCCAGAGCCCTGATTCCTCTCTGTCATAATATTACATAGGAATGAACGCTACACTAGTCATGTTGTTCTTGTGGTTAATGGGATTTGAAAGGAATATTTGAGAAACATAGGAACTGAAGTGCAGAGACCTCTAGCCCCAGTATCCTGCTACCTCTGACCCAACAGGTTTGAGAAGACATCGAAATAACCTGAAGACTAGAACATTTCCCAAAAGAGGAGACCCAAAGGTCCTGATTCTCTGAGGTCACCCCAACATCAGCCAATGACTCAATCCCTCCCAAGCTCCTCAGAATTCCCTACGGCCTTCTCTTGTCTGGGGATCCAAAGTGATTCATTCAAGAAATATTTGGTCAAATCGTAGAATCTCATGATTACAGAAGGACCTCAAAGGTCACCCAATCCAACCCCACCTGAACAAGAATTCCATCCATGTTATCTTGGACACTAATACCTTTGAATCACTGTTATTGTTAAACTTTTTTTTCTTTACAGGGATCCTATATCTGCCTCTCAACAACTTGTACCCATCACTCCTAGTTATGCACTCAGGGGGTCCCTTTTTCACATGATAGCCCATCAAATATTTGAAGTCTTCTCTGGCTAAACATCTCTGCTTTCTTCTGCTAAACCCTCATATGGCATAGTTTTCCAATCTTCTCACCATACTGATTGCCCTAATTTTCAATGTGTTCCCTGAAATGTGGCTCCCAAAACCAAACACCATTCTCCAGATGTGGTCTGACCAGAGCAGAATGAAAATCAAACCAAGAAACATTTCTTAAGCACCTACTAAGTGCCAGGCACAGTTCTAATCACTGGTCCACAAAGAAAAACAAAAGACAGTCCTGTCTCTCAAGAAGCTCTCAGTTTAATGCAACAGGGCCATAAGCTCACTTATTCTGTATACTTTGCTTCCTCACTTGTAAAATGGGGTTAACAATTCCTATATTACCCACCTCAAAGGGTTATTGTAAAGAATGTACTTTACAACATAAATCAACATGTAAATGTATAATTGTTAATAATGATAACGATGCTGCCTAAGATCATTTTTTTGGCTGTCATGTTGTTATTGACTCATATTGAGTTTACAATCGACTAAAATGCCCAGGTCTCTTTCCCATGAACTGTTGCTAGACCACCATTCCCCCATTCTTTTCTTGATTTTTTTAGCCCAAGTACAGGACCTTTCATTTAGCCCTGGTTGATAAATGTTCATTATATGCAAGGCAGTGGGGAACATAAAATGATAAATAAGAAATAGTTCCTTCCCTCAGTGACAGGTATACCAGTTGTCCATTCTTCCCT